TGTTGGAACACCCATTTCAAGGGCATTTCCTCTTCAGCATAAGACAGCATGACCTCTTCAAGTATTCTGATGTATTCAAACTGATCCATGATCCCTGGTATGCGATAAATAGGCCCAACACCGTAGTATGAGAAACATCCCCATATCATGATGCTTGCGCAACCATGCTTCACTGTCTTCACAGTGTACTGTGGCTTGAATTCAGTGTTTGGGGGTCGTCTGACAAACTGTCTCCGGCCACTAGACCCAAAAAGAACAATCTTACTTTCATCAGTCCACAAAATGTTGCGCCATTTCTCTTTAGGCCAGTCAATGTGCTCTTTGGCAAATTGTAACCTCTTCAGCACGTCTTTTTTTCAACAGTGGGACTTTGCGGGGGCTTCTTGCAGATAGCTTGGCTTCACATAGGCGTCTTCTAATTGTAACAGTAGTCACAGGGAACTTTACACCTTCTTTGATCTTCCTGGAGTTGATTGTTGGCTGAGTTCTTGCCATTGTCTATTCTTCTATCCATTCTAATGGTAGTTTTTCCGCTTTTTTTTCGCTTTCTTCCATGTCTTTCAGGTTTTGGTTGCCATTTTAAAGCATTTGCGATCATTTTAGCTGAGCAGTCTATCATTTTCTGCACTTCTTTATATGTTTTTCCCCTCTCCAATCAACTTTTTAATCAAGGTACGCTGTTCTTCTGAACAATGTCTGGAACGACCCATTTTCCTCAGAATTTCAGAGAGAAATGCACTGTAACCAGCATGTGCAACATTTGCTTCCTTCCTTCCTTAAATAAGGGCAATAATTGCCACCTGTTTTTCAAAGAATGAATGACTTCACTAATAGAACTCCACACTGCTAATATTCAATTACACAGAATCAGCAGCATGCATGTCATGACTGTTGGGTCTGTTGGATTTCTATTACTCTACTACACCTGCTAGTAAATTATTTGCCATGTAGAAATATCATTTCTACCAAAAACAGTGATTGATCAGGTTAGTGATGTCTGACTGCTAATATTTTGAACACAACTGTATATATATATAATTTATTTATTACAGGTACTTACAGTTATATAGTACCATTGATTTATGCAGCACTTTAGATATATATAGCACATTCACATCAGTCCCTGCTCTCAAGGAGCTTACAATCTAAGATCACTAACTTACATTCATACACATACTAGGGCAAATTTAGGCAGAAGCCAATTAACTTATGAGCAGGAGGAAACCCACACAGGCACAGGAAGAACATGCAAACTCTATGCAGGTAGTACAGTGGTTGAGATATATATTCATACACTGTATATATATATTTATTTTTAGCAGAAAATCAGAGCAGGGTGGGGTGGAAAGTTAGGTGGGGAGGTGTGGTGTGTCCATTGAGATAAGAAGCTTATACTTTGTAGAGCCCCTGTATGTATTGTATTTTTATAAGTGCATGAAAAAGCAATATTGTTAGTTTTGGTTAGAGTAGCAAAAGTTTAGAACAGAGGTGTCAAACTGGCGGCTCTCCAGCTGTTGTGAAACTACAAGTCCCATCATGCCTCTGCCTTTGGGAGTTATGCTTGTAACTGTCAATCTTGCAATGCCTCATGGGACTTGTTACATAGTTACATAGTTAGTCTGGCTGAAAAAAGACAAATGTCCATCCAGTTCAACCATACTTATAGTTTGGCAACAGCTGGGCTGCCAGTTTGACACCTGTGGTAGAGCGTCTACCAATTTTGATTGCTATTGGTGTCCCTGCTGGGAAGATTTACCCCTCTAGAAAACACATGTAATGCATTAGAAAAGAACTTTCAGCTCTCCTTTTTTGACATTTGTGACACTCGAAAACATGACAGTCCCATTGCATATGCATAGAAAGTTAGTATTTTGGTAAAAGGGGGTTGAGTCTTGGACCTAAGATGGGATTCTGACCTTCATTTTCTCTATCCTTACCCTTTCTTTGGAACTGGTGGACTATACTACAATCTTATCTTTATTGTGTGACCTTTTAAAAAAACTTTTAGGTGAATTTCCATATCAGAATTGTGCATGTTCTCTTGATATTGTGCTTGCTCTATCTCAGACATAAAGATAATAAAAAAGGAGGTTAGATCATTCTCTATCCAAATTACTATAAACTCCTTCATTCCTCTTTATTTCCTCCTTTTCACCCTCTTCTATTTTATGGCCAATGTGTCCAATTCTGTATCTCTTATTCCAGTGTCACCGAGCTCAGGTAAGGAGTGGAACTGCTTATTGGGTCAACCATGCCTTATTCTACAACAGAAAATAGTTTGTCTACAATCATATCTTTATTGTGTGACCTTTTGAAAAAACTTTTATGTGGATTTCCATATCGAAATTGTGAATGTTCTGTTGATATTGTACTTGCGCCATCTCATACATAAAGGTAATAAAAAAAGGGGATTGAATCACTCTCTATCCAAATTCAGCACTTCTAATATCTCTCATGAACAAAATACTAGAAAGCAGCATGAATTGTTTGCCTCACACAGTATAGAAGAAACAAATCTATCTGTGCCTAAGAGATCTCTCTCCTTAGCGGTTTTAAAATAGATTGTGTGTAGCATGATCTTGACGGCTAGCAAACGCAAATCTTGAAGATGTCACCTTTGTGAAGGTTGTACAAATACGGATCTTTGCCTTGGCACTCACTGGTAGTGCATATTACCATGATTTATGTCCCTAGCAGAGTTTTCTGCGCTGTTAATGACAATCAAGATTTAAAAGACGTTGAGTCGAGTAGTCAACAGTCTGTGGCAGTCATAATAAGATTCCATGCTGCCCTCCCTTAGTGAAACTTGTTTAAATGAGCAATTATGCTGTACTGTGAAAATGCTGCGGTCAGCAAAAGAAGCAGAGAAAAAAATGCGATCCCCATATGATATAACTTAACTATGCATCGCAAGGGTGAAAGAATTTGAACTTAAATATTTGTTTATAGCAATCATGGCATGCAGCCTGGAGAATAAACGATAATTTGCAACACATTCACTTAAATTGTGGCCTGTACAAGAACGCAGTACAGTTAAAGAGAAATTACTCCTATAAAAAGAATTCTCTTAGGCTGGCCATACATTATACAATTTTCCTGAGATATTTGCATTATATTTACCAAAAACCATATAATATGAGGTCAAACCTAAACAACACTTTCAATTGTATCTAATTAGGTAGGCCCTTGCACTACATAGTGGAAGGTAAATCTAAAGGAAATTGGGCAGAAATTGGTCAAAAAACTGTAAGAAAAATTGTATAGTGTATGGTCAGCCTTACTGGCGACATTATCTGTATGTTCTGTAATTGTACCTGTTTACAATATTGCATAATTTTATTTTATAGCACTGCAAATAGTATTCTGCAATTCTGAACAATAGAAGATATGTTTGATCAGGCTCTTGAGCTGACTGCTGCAGTTAGCATATCATCACTGCTTTATATTTTATCTTTATCATTTAAACTTGATGATCTTTAGAGGCATAATTAACACTAATGGTGCCTAAACCACAGAAGCACTTTGAACCTTTTTCTTTAATGTCAAGCTACAATATATGCTGTGAATGCAGAGGTGGGGTACCTGGTTTGAATCCTATTCAGGACACGATCTGCAATGAGACTGTATGTTCTCTCTGTGCTTGCAAAACTAACATACTAAGCTTATTCTGCCAAAAGGGAACATACCAAAGGAAAAATAAAGAACCTGTGATAGGTTAAGTATTTAAAGAAGTTTAAATATCCTGTCCATTTTTTTCTATCCCCATCTTACCTTTTCCCACACTTCCTATTACTACTCCAATTGGGATGTTCGCTCTTCTGCTCAGTGGGTCACTGAGTGGGTCACTGAGCAGAAGAGCGAACATAGTAGTAATAGGAAGTGTGGGCATCATTCCCTTCTCCAGTATGGCGGCATATGCTGTGGAGCTTTATGGAGGAGGGCTATAAATGGGACTGTCCTGCTTGACATCTGGATCCCTTATGATTAAGTCGATAACGAAACGCATCAAGGGGAAGTGACGTCAACGCGCACACGGGAACCGGAAGTTGACCGGCGGCCATCTTGGATGAGGGAAACGACCATCTGATTTCCCCTGGGCACTTTCTGGATGACAGTAAAAACTACTTTTGAGTATTTAAAGCGTTTTTTAAGCTGATAAAATGTGAGCATCCTAATTAAAAGTTGATTTTAAGATTGATTCTGGTGGTATCACACTAGTGTGTCCCTTATATATTCATATTTATATGAAACATGCTTGATGGGGATATATGGAGTCTCAAGGCTTTTGGACCCTAATGTTATTATGAAGGCAGACTAAACTGGGTAAAGATCCATAGGAGGACTGTCTCCCACCTATCTTTTGGAAAGATATAAAAAAGCATCTGTTTTTCTGAATATTGGTAAGGGTATGCATTCCTTACTGCACTTAGAAGTGTCACAGTGCTGGCTGGAATAGAGCACTGAAGAGTGATTCACATTCACAGTGGTTTTTTATTGTTTTGGATTCACAGTTTTTTTCACTTTGTTCACTTTTTCACTGATGTGATTATCACCATTATTTATTTAGTTTAAAAAAAAAGATAATGCACTATGTGAATATTTTCTTTTCTTTGAGGTATATTATCGGAGGAATTTATTGAAAGATTTTTGAACACAAGAAGAACTTGATTTAAATTTTGGACTTATAGGGTTTGGACTGCACATAATTTTTTGAGGATTTATTGTATAGCATCTTCTGTTTATTTATGTGCAAGCTGCTTTTATTTTGTTTTAGTATATTATATTTTATTTTCTGAGTGGTTCAATATCTGAGCGCAAGTGCTGTGTTATAAAATCCAGTTTTCTCTTTTGGGATCTTACAGTGGGTGTCTGATGACACACTGCCAGGTCCATCCTTTGCCATTTTTATACTGAATAAATTATATCCATCAAGGGCCAAGTAGACCTGGAGAAGCGTCACCAGGGGCCAGTTGCAAGAACCTGGAAGAGACAGCCTCTGTGTGTCCTGCTCCTGCTGCCTCCTTTGATACCCTGATGATCGGTGCCCAGCAGTGCCACCCACAAGTTCCGCCCACCTGTGCCCAGCAGTGTGCCCACTAGCTCCGCCCACCTGTGCCCAGCAGATCACCCACCTGTGCCCAGCAGTGCACCCACCTGTGCCACTCTGCAGTGTCACACACCTGTGCCCAGAAGTGCCACCCACCTGTGCCCACCAGTGCCACCCACCTGTGCCACCAGTGCCCCCCCACCTGTGCCCACCAGTGCTGCCCACCAGTGCTACCCCACCAGTGCAGCCCAGCAGTGCTGCCAGTCAGTGCCACCAGTCAGTGCCCAGCGGTTGTGCCAGTCAATGCCGCCAGTCAGTGCCCAGCAGTGATGCCAGTCAGTGCCGTCTATCAGTACCCATCATCAGTGTCACCTATCAGTGCCGCCTATCAGTGCTGCATATTAGTGCTGCCTATCAGTGCCGCCTATCCGTGCCACCTCATTAGTACTGCCTATCAGTGCCCTTTAGTGCTGCCTATCAGTGCCCATCAGTGCTGCCTATCAGTGCCCATCAGTGCTGCCTTTCAGTGCCCATCAGTGCTGCCTCATCAACGCACATCAGTGAAGGAGAAAAATTACCTGTTTGAAAAATTTTATAATAGAAACAAAGAAACTTTTTTTTTTTCAAATTTTTTGCACTTTTTTTATTTATAGCGCAAAAAGTAAAGCGCCCAGTGGCGATTAAATACCACCAAAAGAAATCTCTATTTGTGAGAAAAAAATGATCAAAATTTCATATGGGTACAATGTTGCATGACCCGTGCAATTGTCAATCAAAGTGCAGCAGCGCGCTGAAAATTGGCCTGGTAAATAAGGGGGTATAAGTGCCCGGTAGGCAAGTGGTTAAATAAAATACTACACTATAAGCACCTTTCTGGCTCCTGTGGCTGAACTAATTCCCCCCAGGACCACCAGGCACCCACCCTGACGGATGGACGGATGACCTCGTAGCTGTCAGCATATCGCTGCACCCCCACATGTGCAATGTATTATTTCCTTTTACAAGCTTTCGCACAGTTACTCTTCATGGATAACTTCACGTGCCAATCATAGGCATTTCTTCAGCTAATATCTTTGCACAAGAGACGTTTTAAATTCACAAATGCTCTAATGAACTTTTATTGCATTTAATGTCATCTTGAACTAGTTATATTAATATTGCACTTTCAGTACTTTACTCACATATGCGTTTAAGTCACATGCGTTTATGGAATTTATGACATGCATTTTTAGCGCTGCACTAATATTTTTTAAAAAGAGAAAATTTTTTCAAATCAGCAAAGATGGGAGGGATTCATTGGGGAAACATTTATCCTAGAAGTGAAGGTCAACTTTAAGTTCTATGTCTGTATACTTTACAAGTATGAATACCTTGTGAATGCCGTATACAGTGTATATATATACAAGTATAGCCATAGAAAAGGATGCAGAATATGAAGCGGCAGTCCAGAGAAACAAAAAATTAAACAAACACAAAACATTAAAGATTGGATTATTTATTACCAGAGGGAGGTGAGTTGCAGCAGGGAAATGTTTATTTTAGGAGTAAAGGCCTGCTTTCATATCTTGTCAATTCAGTGTTTTTATGCTATACAAGGTAATGCAGATACAATATACAATTATACGAGATATATACATTTTTATATATATATATATATATATATATATATATACACACACACACCTATATATATATATATATATATATATATATATATATATATATATATATATATAGTATACACTCATCGGACACTTAATAGGTACACTTTGCTAGTGTCAAGAAAATATCCCCCACACCATTACACCACTGCCACTAGCCTGAACTGTCAATACAAGGCAGGATGGATCCATGCTTTCATGATGTTTACGCCAAATTCTGACCCTACCATCTGAATGTCGTAGCAACCAGTCTGCCCATTCTCCTCAGACCTCTGACATCAACAAAGCATTTTTGTTTAGACAACTGCCGCTTACTGGATATTTTAGCTTTTTTGGACCATACTCTATAAACCCTAAAGATGGTTGTGTGTGAAAATCCCAGCAGATCAGCAGTTTTTTAAATACTCAGACCAGCTTGTCTTGCACCAACAACCATTGGACTTTCAAAGTCTGATTCTGATGCTTTATTTGAACTTCAGCAAGTTGTCTTCACCACGTCTAGATGCCTAAATGCTGCCATGTGATTGACTGATTAGCAATTTGTATTACCAAGCAATTGAACAGGTGTACCTAATAAAGTGGCCGGTGAGTGTATATGTATATATTACAGTGTATATATATAGTATATATATATATATATATATATATGACATTTTATACTAAATAACTTGCGCACTTGTATGATTTCATGCATGATTTCTATGGTAAAATATTTCTACTCTTCTCATTTTAATAGCTAAAATGTGAGTTATCTTGTGAGTTGTGGTTCAGAGTACTAAAGTCCATAATCCTAAAAAAAACCCAAAAATGTATGTTTGTGTCGAGTAATTAGGCAACCTGCTGCTGGTTCAGCTGCAAAAGACTATAGGTCATACTACGCGGTGCATCAAAAGGCTACAGGTTTGTTACTTCTGCTGTTGTGCCATACGTACTTCCATGACTTGAGTACAAAGGGAAAGAAACATGTGAGTGGCCCTTTAACTTGGTTTCAGCTGTCCTGTGTGAAGAATTTTTGTGTAAACACTGCAGGATGTTCTATCAGTGACAGGATCGCCGGCATTGATAGTAATGGCAGCCTAAAACAATAGGCTAAGGTATAATATTGTGCTTCCAGGAAACATTGCTGAACAGATTATACTGTAAATCATACATACCTCTTTTTCACTTTGACAGGGGTCTTCCTCTACACATTTCAGATTTATGATATGGACCTCTTGGGGATAACTTATTGTTCCTTTGCTTGCACAGCCAGATAAAACAGTGTAGCTTTCCAGCAAGGCTTGGACGGGGTGAGATTCAGTAACAGGTGACAGCCAACATAGAGCTTCGGGGATAGGACCTAAAGACATAAAGAGGAAGCATTAAGTACAATGTTCTTACTCTAAGTACCATCAATGCAGTATAATACCTCTATCCATGATTTGATTGCAGATTGCAGCCTTCAAGAGTTCTGCAATGAGTGAGCACCACTAAAATGACACTGTCTGCTGTTCCTTAAAGAGACACTACCACCAACTTTAAAAATTGCAAGTAAATGCAATAAAAATTCAAGTATTGTAAATGCCTACTTGCAGTGTTTTTCCATTCTATAAAGTTTTTTTTTTTATGCACGTGCAATATGCCTTTGTAATTCTACAGCTAATTCTCCAGGAAAAGTTGATTCCCTAGTACAGGCCCCTCCCTCCTTACAGATCACAGGCCTCCTCTCCTTTGGAAGTGTGTAATTGCTGTCTGTGCTGGTCCAGCTACTCCACCCCTTTCCTCACCTCCCTACATACTATCTTATGTAGCTGTTCGGAGGAGGAGTAAAGGAGAATGGCTTGAGTGATGGCTCTGAGTCTGTGGAGACATCACATCCGAGTTGGCGGCGGCCAACAGCAGTGTCAAGCCTTTTGCATGTCTACAGAGGAAAGGCTTTCCAAGCAAATGCATCAATACAATATGTTAAATGCACATACAATATATTCTTATGGGAAGACTTTTGTTAAAATCAATGGTCTGGTGATAGAGTCTCCTTAACCATAGTGGAAATGTAGTACAAAAACCAGAGACAGGAGACAGCAAAAATAATGCTGTTTTCATGAAAAGAGTAAAATTACATGCAAAGAGTCTGATCAAAGCTTGTAATCACTCTTCTGTGCAGAGTAACTGTCTTTCTGCTAAAACCTGCCACAGGCATTATAAGGACCCTATTTAGCATTATTCGGGCCTGAGTCAATGAGCTTTGGACTTCTGTCTATGGCATGAATGGTTAGCATTTCCACTTGGCAGTACTAGGGCCATTGATTCAAATCCCAACCACGGCACCACCTGCCTGAAGTTTGCATGTTCTCCCTGTGCCTGCATGGGTTCCTCCGGGTACTCCGGCTTCCTACCACACTCCAAAGACATGCTGGTAGGTGAATTGGCTCCTGTCTAAATTGTTCCTAGTATGTGTATGTATGAATGTAAGTAAAGGACCTTAGATTGTTGGAGGGTTAGGGACTAATGTGAATGTACAATATATATGTAAAGCGCTGTGTAAATTGACAGCGCTATATAAGTACCTATAATAATATTAACAATAATGGCATTAGCTTGAGATGCTTCTGAGATCATTCAGAATTTAATGTCTGGTGCATCTGACCTGTTAATGATCTCTTTCTGGCCTGCGTTTGTCCTGCTTCAAGCAGGATTTGCATTCTCATAGACTTGCATGGAAATGAGAAACCTGCTTGAAGCAAACAAAAGCCCATTGAAATGGGCCCTGAGACATCCAAGGACCACCTTGTACATTTGATGAACTGACGAATGTCACTCAAAAGTACTTTGAAATATTTTTGCTTTTAACATTTGATTTAGGAATAACTATAATTTCCCAGATGAAAAACACATTCAGTGTTAGAACTTTGCTCGCTGGAAAAAACATTTCCATCAAATTTTCTCATTTGCATGGTCAAAAACCATTGTCGATTTGACCCAATTAAAATAAAAAAATGCAGCACAACAATATATATACAAATATGATGCTAACAATATAATACATACAAATGAAAAAAACAAAAACCTGTGCTTGTGAAAATCAATGTGTGCTATACCAGATGTCTTACCAATACACACAAATAGGACCCCATAAACTGCACATAACCGTTGCTATAAACGAATTGTGCACACAAATAACAAATAAAATGTCCTTGAAAGTGAACTGTCCCTTTAAATCTTGAATATTAGCACGTGGACTTATGTGGTGTATATCCTATAAATCATGATCCACATACACCAACTAAAAGTGTCATCCGAATACGGTCTCAAAAAATGGTGAACCGTCCCTTTAAATCCGCTGTATTACAAATAGACCAGTGTAACACACTACTGTATAAACGGGTGTGAGATGGGGAAACAGTTTTCATTGTTTGAACACTGATTGAAGTAAATTAAAAACGTTCTGACTGGCATTCTGCAGTTTAGCCACAATATGTCACTGTTTTACCTAACACAGCCTCAGACTGCATAGAGATTTCTATATTCATGAAGGGGTGGGGTTTTACACTTGGAGAGTGAACAGGAAAAGGAGAGGAGAGCAGCCATGCTTGAGAGAGAGAAGGGGGGCTGTGTGATCTGAGAATCTGATGCCATCCAGATGTGAGGACAGCCCTCCGTGATCAGAAATTCAGTTGAGTGAAGCTGATGGTGTTCAAAACGCTAACCCTGTTCAAAGAAAGGAAGATTGCTGCCAGGAAGCTGATGGGAAGCTGAGGAACTAAGCAATATATATACTGTGATATCGCATACTTAGTGGAGAGACATTTGTTCTGTTCAGAGTCACCAGCGCATGCAAAGCAGACCCGTGTCGGTGAGATCGTGCACACACCTCATTTCAGTGTTGGCGCCTATAGGACTGA